GTGTTGTTAGAAACACACAGACACAGCAGAGCTGAAATTCAGCCTTACATCCATGCAGAGCAACTTCATGTCAAAAATTCCCCTATTTGGAGACCAGATTCTAGCTGCTGTTTGTGCTTTAATCAATCCATGCTTTAAAGAGCTTTTTGACTTTCCTTAATTACCTACAACCTCTCACCCCTGGAAGAAAGTAAGGCTGCAGAGGAGAGAACCCCAGTCAATGCTGAACTGGGTGTATGCAGATTTCACTGCTGCATTCATCCACCATCATCCCCTCGAAGTATGGAGACTAGGAATAACTTTGATCAGCAATGTGGGCACAGTTAGAAACACCTTAATTTTTGGAAATGCAACGAGAAGAAAATATAATAATAAATACAACAATTTGAGGATTACTCATTTAGATAGGCTTGTTAATGCATTATAAAATTGTTAAATCCAATGAGACTTTTCTAAGGAAAAGTCAGAAATTATTTTTCAAAACAAAATATCAAAAAAGTTGTTATGCATATAGTTTGGAAAAAATGGAGGAAAGACAAAATTGTTCATTGCATTTATTTATTTTCAAATTAAAATATTTTAGGTATCACTAGTAATATAGCATATGTTGTTTATATTAGGTTATTGAGAAGGCAATGTTAGTAAGTTTAACAGTTGATATCACTGACATTTCACTTTGACATTTATCTCATTTTTATTGTGAAGGTTTATCCTGTCTTTCAAACAAATATTTGCCTTGTGATTATCTTTCAAACTTGTTTGAAAGCAATTTTTATGAAACCATGGATAAGTGAAAAATTTCTCTTATTTTCGAATATGAAGTCCATCATGGAACCAATTCAGTGCAGACAGATCAAAGTATCAACCAAGAGTTTAGGAAGGATGTGGCTAATGAATACGCAGTACATCGGTGGTTTCAGGGGTTCTGTTCTGGTGAATCTAATCTTGATAATTAGTCACATGGGCAACTTGAGACCAAGGTGGATAAAGAACAGCTGAAAGCTATAGTGGAAGTGACTCCATCTCAACCTACGTGTAAATTTGCAGTGAAGTTTGACATAACTCTTCCAACAATATTGGGCCATTTGAAATGAATCAACAAGGCAACCAAGGTAGATAGATAGCTACTGCACTAATTAGACAAACATGAGAAGAGAAATTGTCTGCAAATTTGCCTTTCTTTACTGTCACAACACAAAGGTGAACCATTCTTACACCATTGCTACCTAGGATGAAAAAATTGATTCTTTTTGGCAATTGCAAGCATTCAGCACAATAATTGGATGACGAAGAAATCCTGAAACACAGTTCAAAAACAAATATTCGTTAAAATAAGCGAATGGTGCCTGATTGGTGGTCAAGAGCTGGTATTATTCACTACAGCTTCATGAAACCTGGTCAGTCAATGATAGTGTATGTCTACTGCAACCAATTGGATGACATGACGAGGATGCTGTGATGAAGCAGCCGAGATTGGTCAATAGAGACAGGCCAATCTTCTTGCAAGACAATGCTCCACATCGTGGCACACAAAGAATGCTGCTCCACCTATAGAGGCTGGACTTGGAAACTCTGTCATCCACCATGTTCACCAGACATTGAATCCACCACTCCATCTAGGCTTTAGACCACTTCTTATAAGGAAAAATATTCAATTCTCAACAGGCCGTGGAAAATGCTTTTTGTGACTTTATCTCCACTCACTCTCCAGGCTCTTTGCTGCTGTCATACAGAAACTGCTGTTAAGATGGCAAAACTGTGTCAATAGTTAAGGCACCTACCTTGAGTATTTGTACTGCTTTTTGTTTGAGATATAATCAGCTAAACTTTTGATTTGAAATTGGTCATTTGGTATCCTTGCTGTTTTATTTACCTTTAATTAATTTTTTTAATTTAAAGAAGTCACAATTAGGCA